AATGAAGATTAACTTTAATCTCGGTTTAACTTACTTTTTATTTTCTTCTATAAGAATTAGAATAAGATAGGATAATTTAAATTGGGATTAAAGTTAATACATATAATACATCGATAGAAATGAACATTAGACTTTCTTTTATCCGATGAAAAAGGTGTGTCTTTGTTCCATAGATTATATCTTTATTAATAGCGGCACTAGAGCGAAGTACATCGATGAACAAATTTCTCTTGCGATCGATGGTTTACTTTCCTTATGTTACAGTAAAAAAAACCAGCTCGCATTCTGCATAAAATTCTCGCGATTTTGCCATTTTATACATCCGCGGAATAGAAACGTACTGTTTATCATTATCGTTATCGTTAACGTTATCATTAGCGCATTTTGACGTTAGATGATATTTTAATTCGCTGATAAAACTTTTGATCAGTATCAGATCAGAAGCAAGAAAGGACCTCGTATTTTTGCGCGGCTGCAAATAGCGCAACTCGTAGGAAGTAATTAGTTCGATAGGAAGGACGCTGGTAACGCAGTTTAATGTACATTCTTGTTTTCATTTATTTATTTTTGCTTCAAAGCCGTGACGAAGAAGTGGAGGAAAGAACGAGTGCAATATTGACGCCGGGGCGTGAGCACGTCGTTATCTGCCAATCTCCGACGTACACCTTTCCGTCCTATAAAATTGCCTCGCGAAAGCGCCGCGCGAGAACTTTATCCGAACGGCTTCGGTCTTTTTTTCCTTCGCTTCGCCATGCGGCATGCGCGCGTGCAATTTACATTTAGGCCCTTGTGTGTCTCTCATATAACGTTAGACGCAAAGAATTAATGTTCGGTGTGACGATATTTGTGTTGAAATTGAACATAAAAGGAAACTTACCTTACGGTTACGTGCAGCATGTAATATTTTTATATGCTATTGAACTAGAATTTATTGCTTGCCATGAAATGAAGTAACTTTGACCCCACATTTAAAGAAATGTAAGACATACTGTCTGGGCAGTATCAAATTTGAGCCAAAATTATCTTACTTTGCGACATGTTACGATTTTCTAAAAAAAAAATAAGGAAAACTAAAAATAGGTTTAGATTCTTGATCAATAAAGAAAAGTAGTATGACTGACTGAGTTTTATTTTCGCTATGCTGGAGTTTGTAAAAATCATTCTAGGTGACTATTCTTGGATTAAATGAGTCTACTCTTTGGATCAATAGTTTCTACGAGATGAGTTTTTAAGCGCGACGCAAAAAATGATCGTAATCCATGATGAGGTGCTGTCACGGAGCCGTATCTGCGAGATTCTTCTATCGTATACTGAAAAAGAGTCTAATATTTCGGGACCATCAATGACAATTGCGATGAGGAGAATTTATTTCTTTTTATGCCTATAATACTATAATGTCCTTCGTGAAACGTAAAAAGGGAGGTCGGCTGGTTGCCGAGGGCCTTCGAAGAAACGTCATTTACCTTTACGACGGAGACGGCGGATACGCCGATCCTGCAATTGGCGGAAGGATGCTGTTGCGGATAGAGAAGGCTGACGGAATATCGTATTACTTCTACGGAAGACGCAAGATTATTCGAGCTCCTGGGCCAGGTGGAACGGGATGGCGAGGCGCGCAGGCGAGGAGAACACAGGAGGGAAACTCACGTAGAGCGCCCGATTCTCTATTAGAGGGTAATACGTATTATCGATTTTGGGATGAAACCGGGAGGGTTATCCCGGTTCAAATCATGACAAATGTATAGATACATACCGACGCGCGCGCAACCGTGCGCCTGTGTGTAACGTATTTACGTGTACGTGTATGCATCGGTGGAAGCGTTTCTCGCGACCGCACCTTGGAAAAACTTTTTCCAATCTCTTCTCCTCCTCCTCCTTCCGGCGCCACTACTGTGAATTTGTTTGCCCGGCCGAAAACAGGGTCGTCGACTTGGAGATCTCGCAAAAATCCCCGACGGCGAGAGGTGGCTCCTAAGCGGATTTGCTTTGAAATCCGGCAATAATTGCCTCGAGTTTTCTACCGTATTTCGATTATTTAAGATACTTAGAGGAATTAATTACGATATTGCCACTATGTATAGTTGAGATTTATCATGATTAGGCCAATATTATCTGTTAAATCTTGTCAGTAACTTTGCGAAAAATATTGTTTAATTATATGAATTATTATACATATAAATCGAAATTTTGAGCCGAATATTAAGATATTGATAATCATGTTATCGAGTAATCAATAATTAATAATGCAAAAGTAATCAACTTTTCTGATTAGTTAGCGCTTAGTGATTCTTTAATATGATTGGCTGTTGCCTTTAGTTTCTTGCTGGTAGTGTCTTGCTCTAAGTGTAGGAACTAATCATATTAAAGAATCACTAGGCACTAACTGATTAGTTTTTTCTGCTGAACGCAACCATTAATATATTAAGTCGATAAGTTTCAAAAATTTTGCCCAATTTTATCCAATAAAGATAATGTTTCGTGTTATGCAGTTAACTTATTAATTATCTGCAATTATTACTTATTATTAATAATCAATCTATGATGATTATATACATGTTTAAGAATTATTTACACTTAAATGTCTTTTAGATATGGCATGCTTGTCCAATGCTTGTAACTTTTTTTTTATTAACAAAGATATATTTGTTTGAAATTTATGTTCCTTAATGTCCAGAATTTCTGATTGAAACGAATTTTTTCACGATCTGTTCACTTTTATGAAAGTTGTAAGTAATCGAATTATACTGTATTGAATATATTCTATCAACACCAGTATATTGTTTCCATAGTAAAACGTTTAAGAATTAATGTTTAAAAATCATGTTTTCTGTAATAATCAGTTGTGAAAATTGTTTTTGTCCGACTGATAAAATACGCTGACAAGTTTTAATAGAAAATAGATATTATCGATATTGAGATTGAAACGTAATACGGTAATATAAATAAAAAACTTAATAATGTGCATTTGATATATCAGGACTATTTGGGTTCATCGTATCGCGGCCATTGAATCATGCGTCATCGGTCTTTTTGATTCGGTAGACGATTCACTCGTTAAGATTTACGAGCCGCGATATCAGGATCTGGCACTTCGCGAAACAAAACGGCGCTTCGCGCGGCCGTATAAAGACAGCGGCTGAAAAAGCTTCGCGAGTATTGACAGGCACGGTGAGAAACTGCCCGGGTTAACGCAGAAAAAGCTGTGGAATCGAGCTCGGCGACACCAAGCGACGAGTTAAATACCTCGCGTCGCTTGGTTCGGTCATGGAACAACAGAGCAACGAAAAAAGCGGTAGTCTTTAAAAACCTATTCCGACCCGTGCTCGATCGAAAGGCGATCAATACTATTATACTGGTTGAATTTGTATAATAGATAAGATAATAAAAGTTAAAATTAATAAAAATTAAAATTATTATAATGAACTCAATTTACTCAATAAAAAAATTAATACTAAATAAATTAATTAAACACAGAAAAAGCTTTAAAAAGTATAAACTAATATTCAACATCTAATATTAATAATAAAACAATATAAAAATTATATTTGAAAAAGTTAAAATTAAAAATTAATATAAAAATTCTTTGTGCTTCCTTCTTTCTTGTTATTGTTTAACAATTGTACGGTCGTAAAAATAAGATTCTATTATTTGTTAATATAAAAATGTTATCTAAAAAATTTAATGAACTATATGAAAATATAGAATATTTATAATATTATTTCTAATTTTATAATAAATATCTTCGTTTTATAAAATATGCTGTGGTCACATGGTCAATATCAATTGGTTCCTAAAAATAATTCTCTTCTCTAATTATACAAATTCTCTGTTACAAACACAAAATCATTGCTTTAAAAATATATTCTCTGTTATAAAACAAATTCTCTGATGTACAGATACAAAGAGTTAGTACTTTAAAAACAAATTCTCTGTTCTACAACAAATTTTCTGATCTACAAACACAAAGAATTAGTATTGTAAATTCTCTGTTCTAAAACACTGAATTTGTGTTTTAGAACAGAGAATTTGTTTTTAAAATACTGATTTTGCGTTTATAAAGCAATTTTTAAAAAATTGTTTTTCGTCCTTTATACAACGAAAAAACGAAAAAAGTACCTGAAACGCGTACGTACGTGGCCATAGGATATGAAAATGTGACCACAGCGCATGCTCACACCGCAGCATTTCGTGGCTGTGATAAGTTTCCTAACCTAAATAGTTGTTAACTTTAAAAGCTTAATATCTTGGTTCGCGAGACAGAACGATACAATTTTTCTGCCAAATTCGTTCATTTCGTGCAAAAACACGTTGACTGAGTACATTTTTATCAAAATTTGAAGTAGCCGAAGTCTTCTTAACATTTACCCACTGGTGCGACACTGGTGTATACTAGTTCAAAAATTTTCGATAAAACCAATCATAAAAGGAACTGTTCAAAGCTCTTGCTCTTTCTAAACGCAGCTTATGACATATGCTAACCGTAGTCACTAAAGTTCCCTACTTACAAAATACATTCCATTGGTTAATCAATTTAATTCCTAAGAATTCAACTGACATCCAATCAAAAAACGTACATACGACGAGAACTTCTAACCAATCAAAACTCTGTACGCGCGCGCGCGCGCGCGCGTTGATAAAAATACTTTTATTTGTTAACAGTACAATTAATGATAATTATAGGCTATCATCGAAACTTAGCCCATAAGAAGTCTGTAGCCAAAAATTGATAAGGAAATATATTGTAGTTATGGAGATATGCGCTTACAACTGATACGCTTCCGTGAAACGCATACTCTCTCCATTTTTTGACAACTTTCAATTAGTAGCAATAAAAATTAGAAATTATGTTAGTAAGGATTGAGTAGTAATGACGCAGTGTGTATGACTATTGAATATTTTTATTGCTGATAGATTTATAATCTTATGTCGTTTCTTGTTTTCTTTCTGTTTTTCGAAAGACCACCTGACGATTAATGATCCTCTTTCTCTTCTCGTTTCAGCAGCCGAAATTCCTCAAGAGGACGACCGAGGAGTTGGAGCCAGCCGGTGGTGCTAGTGGCGATGGCGGCTTCGGTGAGCCGCCAGTTAAGCTGCAATGCACGCAAGGGTCTCATCAGCATCAACAGGGTCCTGGCGGTGGTGGTGGTGGCGGCGGGCCTCATCATGGTCACGGCCAGCATCAATCGGGGAACGGCGCGAATTCGACTGGTCCAACGCCCGGTGGCGGTGGTGGCGGTGGTGGTGGTGACGGGAATGAAGGTCTCACTAAGTTTCAAGTTCAGATCGTGCAGCAACTGGAGTTTACAACTTCAGCCGCGAATAATTCGCAAGCTCAAGCAATTTCTACGAACGTAACAGTGAAAGCGCTGACAAATGCGTCGGTGAAGAGCGATCTCTTAAATGCGTCATCATCACCAAAACCCGGTTCAGACACATCGGCATCAGCCGCGTCTAGATCGCAACCCGGAAACGGCAGCGGGCCTGGAGGTCCTGGTGCTGGTAATGGCGCCGGTGGCGCTGGCGGTAGCGGTGGAATCGGTTGCGTTGACATTGGTAATCTAGTCGAATGTAAACAAGAACCCGACAACGAGTTCGTGGATCTAGAACAATGCGCCGCGGCATTAGAGAAAGATGCCGCGGCGAATGGCACCGGTTTCCCCGGCTTTTCCGAATTCATGGGCGATGATACCGGCGACGAGATTATCACGTCTGATGCGTTCAAGGATCTCATTTCTGAAATATCGGACTTCCATCCGGAGTTTATGAAGGATTTTGACTTTGAAGATAAGAGCGTCGATACGCTGGCGAACAACGCCGCGGCAGCGGCCGCGGCTGCAGCTGCTGCTGCCGCTGCTAATAACAATAACAATGGCGGTAATAACGGTATACCAACGAATAACGGACAGATCAAGATTGAAGATGACAAGGATGCGATTCATCAGCAACAGCAACAGCAGCATGTCAATGGCGCAAACAACGGCGTTAACAGTAACAACGTTGGCAGTAACAACGGTAACACGATGCCGGCTAACTCAAGCCCAGGCACTCTCGGGTCCTCGCAATATTCTCCCGCTCGACTTCCTTACTCTGGGTTAGACTTCAAATCTGAGATGAGCCCGGCGGCGCAGACGCTCAAACAGATGGCCGAGCAGCATCAGCACAAGAGTCAGCAATTAGGTCTAGGTGGATTCAATCCCACGGCAGCAGCGGCAGCCGCCGCGGCACGAGGCCCAGCGGCGAGATCCCCTTACGCCGAATTTCCTCAATTCGGCGGCGCTTCCGATTACCTTGGTAGTCCTGGTAGTACCGGCCCGACCGGTGGACAAAACCAAGCCACAGCCGCAGGGACCGGCTCGTATCACAAGAACAATGGCACTCCAACCTTCCAGAGTCAGCAGACCAACGATATGTTCGTTAATTCGCAAACTCAGTTTGCTGCAGGCCTCACGGATATGAAAAGACCCCAACCAACTGCGACGGGCGGCAAGCCCAGCATGCTGGGGCCTAGCGGCGGTTACAAACAACAATACTCGCCGTATGGTAGTCCGGGTTCGATGCCGAATCACGGTAGCCCGGGTTATCCATTACCACCAAGAGGATCGCAGGGAGGTGGACCTAATCAGACCGGTTCGCAGGGACCTTTTAACACGACTTCCACACCACCGAGACCTCCTTCGGGACCCGGTACTTCCACCTTGCAAATCAATCAGGCACAGCAGCTGCACATCGGTAACCAGATACAGGTAAGTGAAATAACTTCCTTGCATGAGATCGATTTTCTCGAAAATGAAATATTATACGGAAAATATGCAGTATTCTACTACTAAGATTTTTGCATTAGGGATAGCGCTTATATTTCAATTATATTTGAAAGAAAAAAGCTCTGGGGGGGGGGGGGGGGGGTCTAATTATATTAATTTCATCTTTAAAGACTCCTCCACATAGAAGTCGTAGATGGTCGTGGGAACTCAAATCGTAGAAAATTGACCATTTCTAGTTGAGTATTCTCCTTATATTTGACTATGATTACTCAATTTCCTATGACTTAAGACTCCACGACTGTATACGATTTCTGTGTAGACAAACTTTTAAAAAATTTGTTTAGATTATGCCGTCTCTTTGGTTTTCAATCATCAAGATGTAATAAATAGAGTACACCGTATATCTCTATTTAAGCGGATAACATTTTCTCGAGCTAGTGCAAAATTCAGTGGAATATTTATCTTTCTCAATGAGGATGGATTCCATATCGCAAATTTTCAAGTTTCGATACAATGATTTCTTTCGGTCGAATGACGGCCACTGCTAATCACCGCTATTGCGGCGATCGATACGAAGTAACCGAAAGCTACTCGAGCTCGGGCCGAGTGATATCTGTTGCGCCGCGACGATACGTCTATTTTTGTCGTCGACATCGCGGGGCATCGTTGGCGACGGTAGCGGTGGTGGCGCGACGTCGAAGGGGTGGCGACGACGGCGGGCGGTGGCGACGTTGTTGGTCGTCGATGAAACGCGGTGATACGGAGGGGTAGAAGGGAGGACTACGGCGTCACGGGGGCGCCGCGACGCGCAACAAGTAGTCTCGTTTCTCCCAGTGGCGGCGGCGGCGGTAGCGGCGACGGTCCTCTTTGTAAATTTTCTCTCTCGCCAGAGTCCACCGTTCCCGCTCTCGCATCCTCCCTCCCCCCCCCTCTTCCCTCTCCTTCCCTCCCTCTCCCTCTATATCTTCATCTCTCCATGCCTCACCCGCCGATGCTTCTATAGATGGCGTTGAGGGTTGGGGAGTTGGATAGCGAAGGGTTGCGCGGCCGCGCACAGCCGGCGTCGCGACGCCACCGCCGCCGTCTGCTCGATTTAACCTGCGCCTGCAATCCGCGTCAATATACGCTCCGTAGTAACAGTCGCGGGGCTATGCTCGTGGCAATACGCACGTGACGCCAGCATCGGCGATGAGGCAACTCCCTCCCCCCTTCCCCGTATGTCTGTTCGTACAAAGGATTTCACCTGGACGAATGAAAAGGATCGCCACGCTCGTCGATATACTCGTCGCTGCGCTGAATTACATAAGGGTCCAGATTCAATTCGCAACATTGTCGATGGAGGGAGCTCTCTGAACAAAACTGTCAACAAGAATATCCCACGCGGATGTATTTCCCTGTAAACAATGGGAATTCAATCGTTAGAGAAGCTGACATGATAATCGAGCTCGATCTCTCTCTCACACACACACACACACACACACACACACACACACACACACACACATACACGTTAGCCCTCAACTAGAATTAATTGCAGCTAATAATAAGTTAATTTAATTAATTCGAACTCATTTTTTTGCTGCTATAATTCAAACACAATGATGTTCAATCTCGCAGAGTCTGCAAAAGGTTCAGAGCAAACCGCAATTTGCGAATCTCCATTGGGTCACAGAAATCTCGCAGGATCAGCCGCGACCCTTCTATGTCAATCCCGGAGGAAACTTGCTGACCGAGAGGAAACGATGGTTCTACGATGCCGCGCGCGAATACCTACCGCTATAAAATCTCGGGGTTCATTGTGGCGGCTGCTCGGACAGATCTTATCTGCTCGAATGGATCTGGACTCGGAAGCACTTCTGGTCGCTGGCTCGAGCATGCTCCTTCCTCGTAAATCACGTTAGGCGGCGTGTCTCATTTGCATCTCAATGCGTCGAGGAGGCAAATAACGCCTCCTTCTCTTCATCTTTAGCCAAATCCACTATTATCTCCCTCTCACCTATAGACATCTTCTGTTCTTCCGCACTCAATTTATTTTTCGTTACTGCGTGGCTACGATTTTGCGATTCCGCTTGAATCCGTACGCGCAATCTTGCTCGTGTGAATCAACAGCATAACGACGTTATCACTTTGACGTTAGTGTGATACAGAATTCCCACGATTGACAGAGACTCAGCGCACGGTTATAATTAATCATTCCTGGAGCGCTTTGAATTATGGAACTCCACGCGGCTGTCAATTGCGGATCGATGGGTTTCGTCTCGACATCGAGATATTTTATCGAAGCTCGTAAAAAAGAAGAAAGATAAACGGATATTGATGTTGAAATCTCCGTGTCCGACAAAATCACCCTTGAATATCGAGCTGTAATCGGGAACGCCATGTAAGCGAGATTCAAATCGAGAATTTTTTTCATGCTCTCGCCGTCAATCCTTCTTCTCTACCGAGGACTCTTATTTTTACACATGTCAACGTGTCATTTAGCTCGGAAGTCGAGTTTTGCTTCAGGAATCAAGAACCACGATGTCGTACGATCGATTTACATACTCTGACATGACTCCCACATTCTTTTCGCAATTTCTTTCGGACTCTCTGAATCGGCGACATTATCAGAACGGAAATCCCATCTAGACGAAGTCGATAAGCTCGCTTATCACCTCGCGGAACTATTGCGCAAGTCGACGTCAGGTCGATAACATTCCGAAGTTATAATCGCGTTGACAAATTTCTCCTCAAATGTACACATATAATATATTCGAAAGTATGAAATAAAATCGCTCCAAAAGTCAGAATTAATATGTAGCTAGGATTTAATTAAGAATTCAAACTACTCGATACTATTTACCTGCCGTATTGCTACATAAAGCTGTAATATTGTTCGTTTAACGACTGGTAAAATAATTCTTTATTTATGCATCAGGTCGGATATGCAATGTGCAAATTTAACCGAATAGGATGAAAAGCGACGCGAGTATATCATCGATAGGTGGGCGGGGAAAATCGACGTATCGAAATGCCGTACAAATCAAACGTACCACGGATGTAATTCGTAAAACTCATTCGGTAAATACGACGCGATCGATACGATTTGCGAAGCACAGTCCCCTTCCCCCCTCCCCCCGTTTGGCAAAAGGGTGCATGTATGTTTATGGGCGTTAAGCGGGTTTTCGAAACATTCAACCGCCGCGTCCATACGCGCTCGCAGCGAATATTAATTTACCGCTAATTACGGAAATCGAGAATGGTAACGTTACAAACAAACGCGCGAATGCTCAATAAGAATTTATTACCGGAGCTTGTTATCCGCGTGTAATCAGTGGCGCATTTTGATGCGATCGTTACTCGATTTAGAGAGGAAAAACGCTGCCGATCGTGTAGCCGAAGGATCTTCCCTGGCAAGGAGAAGAATAACGCGTGGAATGGATTTCGCGGAATCTTCTTCGTATCGCGAACTATGCCGGGAATTTCACGCAGATGAAAATGCTACCAATGGCGTAACTCGTGAGGGTGCACCATCCACTTACCCGTTGCCAACACCCTCTCGGCGAGCAGTGCAATTTTATGATGAAGTGAAAGTTTATCAAAATGTTATTAGTGGGAGTTATCAATTCCGTTAATTAAGTAACTTCTCATTTAAGTCATATCGTCCAATTTCTATCTCGTGAATTCCGAAGCGATTCCTCATGACGTTATCGCATCGTTACCGTTGTGTGATTCTTACATTCGATCTGACGTCCAGTTGGGTCGATATTATTTAGATGGCATTACGACGAATGCAGATCAGTGTGGATGATTTGCTGTCGAAATAAAATGGGTCGATCGCATGCGGTTAATAACCCCGTCTTCACCTATGTAAAATAGCGTCCACAGCTTAATTGACGAAATATTCAAATTACCCGATTTCGAAGCATGTTTCGGGGCGCCAAAGAGCAAGCACATCGCGCATTTAAATGATAATCGTTTCATGAAAGAGTGTGCTTTCCCGTTCCTCTTCTTCTTCTTCTTCTTCTTCCTTCTCCACATTGACACTTACCCATTTCGCTGGCATTGTCCATTTTACATCGAAACGATCGGTGAGATATGCGCGTATGATCGGAAGGATTACCGATTCCAGCGACGTCAATCTACATATTGTAATGAGTCCAAGAAGGATGTCGTTTCCTTTTCTCATGACCTTCATCTTGACCCTGTACAAAGTCCATGCTATCCTGCCATTTCGCCGTTTATTGTCGAACAATCGACGATGCACGTTGTAAGTTAGCATTTCTTATAGTTGATTTTTGTCAAGAATTTAGTCATTTGCATTATTTGATCATTTAATACATTGACTTTTGTGTGATTTTAATTATTATTTTTTTATTTAGTAAATATTTACCATAAGTAAATGTTAAGTTTTGATACTATTTAAACAAATGTTTGGTTAAAATTTAGTATCTTTTTGTTCTCAGTGTATGCATGTGTATATTTCATTTTTAAATTTACATTATGCCACTGTATAAAACATTTTGTTATATATAAAGTATAAGCGCACTTTAATATGTATTAATTCAGTGTAGTTTTTGAGATCGCATTTACCATAAGTTATTTACCTTAATCGTTAAATCTACGAATTGTTCTTACAAGTCGATCGGTGAAATACCTTGACGCCAATTCACGATCTTTGCTGTCTATCGATTTAAAACACTTCGTTGCACTGTGTGATATCGATACGTATAGGTATCCCTCGTATTTTCCGAGCTAGTGGGGATATATATTGATACACTATATATGTGGTGACGCGAACTATAGGATGCGGCGCAACACGCTGCTCGACGAGTGTAGCGTTGTTCTCAATTTGTTTCTATACCGCGCGCGTACCACTTGAAATGTGATTCGATAATGAAACAGTACTCGTCCGTCGTCGAGCCGATTTTCGTGCATCGGAATACTTGATATTATTCGACACACTAACGCGAATCCGTCGAGCATCGCCTATCCCGGACATT